CCTTTCCGAGCTCCTCAGTTGTGGGATTGCCCAAGCCATGCAGATATTGATGAGAGAACTGATATTTGGTCGTTGGGGTGCACTTTATATGCAATAATGTAAGAACTAATGCTTATACATGCACTTATACAATGTTTGCTTTCTTTTAATGAACTTTTTGTTGTTTTACATTTTGTCCTTTTATTATCATTCATCAAGTTCTTTTGTTAAACAATATAGTAAGCAAAGTGTCTCAGCAAGTCTTGTGGCTGGAATCTCTTTATTGGTTTCCTTCTGGCTTAATCTAAGGAGTAGATTTTAAGTATTTGATGTGAAAGTTCTATAATGCTAAAACCAAGGCTATTGTTTTTTCATGTAGTTGTCCATTGGTGTCTAAGCCTTAGAAGATGAACACTAAAACACATGAAATTATACAAATTCAAGTAATTCAGCAGTTTAAAGTAGCGTACAAAATCACACACAATGACTAGAAAGCATCTGGTCCTAAAATGAGTAGTCATGGCTTACCTAAACTTTTATGTAAAAAAAAAAACATGTTTGCCTTAATCTTCTTTTACCAATCTTATTTTGCTTTAAACTGAAGCAAAACACTCTAATGTGACTGTTCCATGCACAAATTCATTACTTTGTTTGCATCAAATTATTGTTATGCTTTTTCGTGCTGATATTACTTTCTTTTCTAAAAATAAGATCAAATTATTGACATGCTTTTCATGCTGATATAACTTTCTTTTCTAAAAATAAGACGAGATTTAACAGTAGCCAAAGTCACCATTGTGTAATTTTTTAGCTTAGTTCTGTGTTCCTTCTTTTCATGTATGTACTATTTGAAATCAAAACTTCAACACTTAATCATGATTCTTAAATTTGTTATATAAGACCTAATGCTTGTTTTTTCAATTTAAAGGTAAAAAAGGAAGGAGATATACCCATAATTGTAATAGTAAGTTATAGTCCATGTAAGTATACTCATTTATGTGTTTACTAAATCCTACAAATATACATAGGAACGCATTGAAAGGAGCCACAAACATGTGACAAACTTTTATTTACAGCCGAAAAGTCTGAAAAGAAACCTGAGAAGCTGGGGTCGACTCACCACTCGACACTCACCAATGGCAATTACCATAGGCCTTCAGCAGCTAGGATGGTGCTAACTAGAAAACCAGTGACTACACCCCATCGAAGAGTATTAGTAGTAGAATATGTTAATTTGGGTCCGTCAACCTGATTTTGCGACACCATGATTGCACATTTTACCTTCCCTTTTTAAGGTCAATTACCAAAGTTTGCAGGGCCATATCAGATACCTCTCACTTTTGAATCTAATCTTCTCATATCTGGGTCTTGATAAAGCTATCTCTGATCTTCTTTTTTCACGTATAAAAGTTACAAAGTGCATGGTAAGTAAAAAGAAAACAAAAATGAAAAACAAAGGCAGCTCATAGGAAAACAGGATTATTAGCGGCTTTTTAATAAGTGAACTTTATGCTGGAATTATTTTTGAGTGATTGATTCCTTATGTTTGTTTTTGGATTAGGACATCTCTTCTTTGTTGACAAGATTCGATTATAGTCATTATTATCAACTTATTTTCTTGGAACCTTGCATTACTAGCTGTGGGTGTTTGATTTTTTTTAGTCCTTTATATGAACAGAATATGTAAAGAAGGAAGATTGATTTGGTTGGTAGTTGTTGAGGGGCACTTATTTCCGATTCTGTCATTACATTCCAAGTATTGGTTAATGGATTAGGTACATGGAGCCAAAAAAATCTATCCAATGAAAGAACATACTATTCTGGGATGTCAAATCAAATTCTCTTCTAGATGCATTTTCAGGTCGGCATGGAAAGCAGACATTTTTATCTTCATGACTGGTAATATATTTCTAAGGGCTTCATGTTTTTGAATCCTTTTCAGTTCTTTGCTTCAGATGAGAGGATAAAGGCTGTCAGAAAGATGATAATGGCAGTAACAGCAGAACCGAGGAAAGCAGCTCTTAACCTCTTACTTCCTTATTAGAGATCTGACTTTGAGGAAATTATCTGTGCAATGGATAGTACTTCTGATCTTTTGTGCTTCTTTTAGAGCATGTGTGCTTCTTTTACTGTGTGATGTCAACCTGGTTGGAGCTTTGTTGGCGTGTAACATTTGCATAGAATATCTTATTGCCCCTTTTTCGTTTACATCTCTATTGAGGAGTGTGAATTTCATTTTAATTCCAGACCTTCCAGAACAATCCGATTGTTGGACTCCCCACTTCATGAATTTCTTCCAGAGGGTGACTTAGAACAGATTGTAAGTGAATTAACTTCAAAGACTGGCACGACTGAAGGTGAAGTTTTCTCAAGAATTGAAAATGTATCTGAAGTGAATCCCATGCTTGGTTTCCAGGGTTGCAGGTTAATATTCCTTCTAAGAACCTTTAAAGCTGATGGTATTTGTTTTCCTTTTTCATTTCTTGGCAATGGCATAGTGAAATAAAATCTTTAAGTGATGGATTCTATGCTTAATATAGTTTGATTATGACAACAAATTTCATTTCATATCTGAATCTTTTGAAATAGTTTGATTTCTGATTTACATGAGAGTGTATGCAAATAAAGAATGAAGCACAAGAAAGCTCCAAATGGAGCATAGGTTGGATTTGGAACCTTTTCTTCATTTTTCAGGTTGTGAATGAAAAAGCCAATGTGCGGGAAAATGCCATCATCACGGTATTAGATATTATATAATATATAATATAATTATTTATTATTATCATATGTATCATAAAAAATTATCTACCTAAGCATTCAGGTAGTTAAATCTTATAAGATTTTTATGTATGTTGTAATATAATATTATATATGATTAACAAAAAAATATAAATTAACTATTTTAATTTTTATCTATATTAATCATATTATTGTTTATATAACCATTTAAACTTCCAAAAATTTACTTTTATATATAGTTAATAGAATGAAATTTAAGGTAGAAGATAAAATTAGCATGCAAACATTTTATTTCCTATCAGACTTTTGGTTTCAAATCTCTCTTCTTAAAAAAGTATCATTAAGGATAAATGTGATTTTTATGCATTATATCACTTGTTTATAACAATTGTGTAACTACTTAATTTTAATTGAATTTACTTCAGTCAAAATTTGTCATTGGGCTTAATTAATTAAAACTCAAATTCATTTTAAATGAGATTTTCAAGTTCAAATTTGCATCTGTGCAAAATTGACTAATTTTTAAAAATTTACTGCTAAATATTTTTTAATAATTTTGATTTTGATTGATTTGGATATAATTTTAAAATTTGAGATTGAGTCCCAAAATTTAATATTATTTTTAGCAAATGATTTAAATTTAATCATTTTATTTTGATTAAAGCAATTATTGTTTATGAATCTAGTTTTCTGTTTTCTATAAATTACTTTTTTCAGGTTAATACGTTCTATTTATTCGGCTCCGTTTTAATAGATTATGAAATGGAAAAAAAAATTTTAGCATTCGTTTGAGCGACAAATGCCAGGATTATATTTTAGCATCAACATTTAATTTTTATAATATTAATGTTGTAGCTTTTAGTTAAATCGAAATTATACCAAACCATGGAGCAAGCTGAAAACTTAGCTTATCTCATTTTATAATTGAATCTAATCACAATTCAGTCCGTCAATGGTTGAATGAAAAAAAAAAAAAAAAAGAATGGTTGTTATAATTAAGTATAACAGGGTTCATATACATTTTTATTAATTAGCTAGATAGATAGATTTAGTAAATGGTGTGACTCTATTTTATGAAATGAGTTGTTTTATTTTAATTTGTTACCTCTATGATTAATGCAGTACGGAAGGTGCATGTTTAATAATCTCATGTACATAGTTAATTATTTACCTTGTCTTCGTTATTTTCTTTCTTTTCTCTTGATTTTTTACATTTTGAAAAAGCAAGAACAACCCCTTTTTTTCTCTTTTTTTTTTTTAGCTTTTAGTAATTAGAACATTTATGCTTGAATTATTTATTTTCTCAGATAATGTAATATAGATGAAAAAGATAAATACATATAATGGTATTGAATTCATTAAGTACAATGATTTTTGTTATATTTATATGTTTAAATCGTCCAAATTTAATGGTTGTGAGATTTATTTTATCATCATTTCCATATATTGTCTTACATGTGAGAGAGTGTTTCACTAAAAAAAAAAAAGGTAAAACTCACATCTGCTAAATTGGAGCAACTTGAGCACATAATCAAATGTACTCATCCTATTTATTGTCAATTAATTAGTTTTAAGTTAGACGTTCATTTAAAATTTAATATAATATCAAAATAAGTATTTTCTTGTTTGTTAGCTTTTTTATGATAAATTTGTTATGCTTACAATGTGAAATTTATGTCACATGATAAAGATTATTATATTTACAAACATGAAGTTCATGCCACATGATAAATCCATTATGTTACACATGAGAGAAAATATTATACTTAAAATAAAGTAAATCCCACATGAATTTTTTAAGGTAAATCTCACATATATTAAATTGGAATATTTTGGACACAAAAGTATAACAATAATCACTCTACTTATTATTAATTGATTTTAAATTGGATGTTCATCTAAAGCTTAAACCAAAAAATTTATTACCTAAAATTTCATAGTTGCATTATATATTTTCTTTCTTTTCAGTTTAATATTTAAAGAAAAATATTTTTCATTTAGATTCTATCCGATTGATATTTTGTTATTTTAACAAAGCTTTCTACAATAAACATAATAAAAGGTGATTTGAGTTAAAGAAAATTGTTAGGGGCTTTTGCATGTATTGTTCCACATGCGTACAAACTTGATTCAACGTAAACTTTTTTTTTCTAATTTTGATTTAAATAGATCTCTTTTCAAAGACAGAACTTATAACAAATAAGAGTAAACACTTTTTTTTTTTTTTGAAGTAAAGAGTAGACACAACTTTTCATCACATGTAACATGTAAATCAAGTGAGTTTTATTATTTTGAATATTTTCTAGCAGCTGGTACACGCTTATTTTGCTCTCCCTTAAGCAGGGATAAGCACTATGCTCTTATTTCGCTAAATATAATATAGCATGGCTGAAATGCCCTTTTCTTACAGATTTTGATCAGCAGCTCTATTTAGTTAAAATTGATTGGGTATTTAGGCTGCTTATTTGGAAGAAACAGTCCCCACTGTCTTTCAATTTCGTCGCCCTGTTTTTTATTCTCATCAAACATGGCAAAAATATAAGTTTCTATAGGCTTTCCAGGCTTCTTTGGAGTACCTCCTTTCACATGCTGGATCAAATTCTGGTTATAAGTTCTTGCATTATCAATATTGGCTGCCGCCTGTGCCCCACCTCCAGCGGATGGCCATCCACTCTCCGACACAACAATCTCCATAGAAGCGCCACCAGCCTTCTCCAGGGCAGCGTAAACAGCATCCAAGATGGCATCAAAATGGTTATGGTATTGCAAGGGAGGATCTGAGACGACAGGATTTTGAGATCTGAACAGAGCATAATCCAGGCTGATAGCCGGGTTGCCATCGTAGCTGAAATAGGGGTACAAGTTAACAAGTAATGGGGCTTGGTTGTTCACCAGGAAGCGAATGATGGGATCGAGAAGTGGCCTGTATTCAGACCTAAAAGACCCCTTTGATGGAGGAAAAGATTCTCCCAGCGTCCCTGTGTCGATTGCTGTGGAAACTTTGATTTGGTTCCCTAGGCCAGCTGCAACAATTGCATTGCGAATGTTTTGCATGGCAGGGACTAGAAATAGTGCCACCGGATCTGAAGGTTTGACTTCATTTCCAACAGCAATGTAGCGGAATTTAACGTTGCCATAGTTTCGAACATTGTTCTGGACCCAAGTGTTTGCATTGGCTTGATTGGCAGCGACACGCTGAAGATCGGTATTTGGAACCCCTAGCATCAGCTCAATGTTGGAGCCTCTGAGAGCTTGGAGAGCAGCTTGGTCTGGATCATAGAGTCTCATTCTGCTGATGTTTCTCTGGTTGTAGAGAGCTATAACTTCTGGCTTTGGTGGTAAGTTGTTGCCAAGCATTCCGTAACAAACACCTATTTGAGCACCTGCATTAGATGTAACAAGAGCTTAAAAATAAGAATGTGTTACATCAACTAATTATACCACTTGTGCAACCAAACACAGGAATATGTCCACAATAGATATTCCTTTCCATGAACTAAACTATAAAATAACTATTCCTTCATATTCCTACCTCATTCTATTATCACAACATTTTAAGTTTTATTCCATTTAATGAACCAAACCTACCTTAATATATGTGGATTGAGCTCCTTTCTATCATTTTTATGTCCATTATTTTTTAGTGCACTTGTTATTATCATCATTCATGCAGGGATTAGTCATGAATAGTGGAATCCATACATATAAATGATGATTAAAAATGAATTTTTAGATAACAAAGAAAACCAGATTATTGGACCATTAATATTATTTAGAGAGAGAGAGAGAGAGAGAGAGTACTTGAGGTATCGAGGGATGCCATTAGAAGGCCAAACAGCAGCAATGTTGAAGCCATACCAAAGTTGCCAGCTAAATAGGATTTCGCCATGAGAGACGTAGAGAGAAGATACAAAAGAAAAGAGAAGAATTGAAGGAAGGCCGAAACTCTATTGCCAGCACCCCTACTTACTGGACCTTATATAGACACGAAAAGGATCCCCACCCCTTGCATTTTCCAAGTGAATTAATTGCTCCATGGAAAATTATGTCATGGAAAAAGAAAAAAAAAATCTTCCACAAACACCATCTAGATTTCGTCATTCAACTGGGCCTTCTCTTAGTACCTTTCAAAAGTCTTGGGCCTCATGGATCGGGAAAATTCAACTGTGGCTTGTGCCAGTTCCTTTCGCACGATAATCAACTCTTCTTCTAATTTAATTCTGGCCTATGGGTTCACATTAAAAATGGAGTAAATGTTATTTTTATTGCTATTCTTACACTAATTACATTAATTCATTTTGAGCCTTTGTACAAATGGAATTAATTTTAGCTAGCAAGTAGCTTACACAAAATAACACCATTTTTTCTTTTGTTATTATTAGTTAGGTAAGAGACCAACGATCTTAACTCTTCAAATAAAAAGGACAAATATTAAACCTAATATTTGGATAAAATGACTCCAACATGTTCTTGACTTCCATGACTATGATGTGGATATGGGAATTCTCCAACTTCTTTAACCATAATTATTGGCACAAATTTCTATGCACTATTCATATACTGTTAGTATAATGATCTGCACTGTTCATGCATTGTTAGTATAGTAAAATCAGTGTTTATATCTATATATACCTCCATTTGCAACAATTTCATTCGAGCAAAATAAACAAACAAATATATTTATTTTTTACCAAAATAAATAAAAGAAATAGAACCGTATAATTTTCCACTATATTGCTTTAGTTGCTATTTTTAATGGTAGAAAGCTTTGAAAGGTTACTTTTTCAAGCAAATATTTCTTTGTATGAAATGAAATTTTTTAAAACCTTTTCCGAAATTAAATTATACATAAAATCTAATCTCAATGGGCTTGCACATGATCAATGAAACCAATTTATGTAGATTTGATTAAATTTTTATTAATTTGTATATATTTTTAATTTGTTTATTAAATTTTCATACATGACATGATGTAATAATTACATCATACATGTTGAAATGAGAGCATATTATCTATAATGATTATATTACAATTAATCAATCACAATTCAAAATTATATGAGGATCATTAAAATTTTATATAGAATCCACACTTATAAGTAGTAAACTCTTACATAATTTTTTATTATGATTAGACAATTATAATATTATAATAAAATAATTATAGGTAGAATACTCCAAATTGAAATTGTTTGATAATATATGATATAAGTAATATATGTTTTACTTATAAATAATTTTTTCTATGAAATTAAAAGTATAGAGTATAGATTATGATAAGTATGAAAAGGAATCCAATTTATGTCTAGGATAACTCTTACACTTTTTTGAACTCTTGAAATCAAAATATTAAATTTAAAATATTATTTCATTCAAATGAGTCATGCATTTTAATTTTGATTAAAAGGCCACAAAAAAATATAAGAATTACAGTAGTATAAATGGAATTTACTCATCAAGTATTACAAAAGTAAAAAATTCAACATAACATTGGAAATAAATTCACACAATGTAATTTGGATCTAAAACCTATAAAATTGTGAAAATCTTTTTCTTTCTTACTAAATCAAAAATTCATTGGCCACTTGTAAATATAATCTTATGAAATCTTTAAAATTTTTAAAACATTTTCCTTACTTTTAAATTCTAAAAACTCATTGGCCGCTTGTAAATATAACGCTCGTATTAGCCTATGGAGCTATGAATAGACAAAAGATGTGTATCAAGGAGCGCCATGCAACTTGGGTGCCTAACCTTCTCACTCGACTGAGCTAGTTTTGATAAGACCCCAAGATTATTCACTCCAATGCATACCAAGTCAAGAATTTATTTTCTATAAATTTTTAAAGAATTTTTAAACTCCACAAAATGGAGTTAAACAATTGATAAATGTATTTTTTTTGTTACCTTAATTTTTTAATTATTTTTAATATATCTTAAAAAATATGTCAATTTTTTATACAAAAGAAGTTATAGACTAGAAATGAGAAAAAAAATTATAAGTACTAAAATTTGAACTTAGATCTATTGGATATCAACTCTTAAAAAAAATTATATAAATCAATTGAATTAAATTTTAAATTTTTTATATAATTTTACTAATCTCTTTTAAAGAGTTTAAAAACTTTATCGATGGTGAATGAAATAATTTTTTATTAAGTCAATTCTTTGCTTTTTTAAACTACTGATACATGATAGATTGATATTTAAATCTATTAGCATGATTTTGAGCTTAACATTTAGAGGTTACGAGTTTAAAAAAGCATATACGTGTAATGTTCAATATAAGAGTAGGGGGTTTAAGGGTAGATTAAAAATTAAAAAAAAAAAATACAAGTGCATGATTATATGCTAGCTCACACAATAAATATGTATTTTTTTAAAAATATATGTTAATAATATATTTTTACATTATAATTATAAAATATAAATAATTTTTTAATTAATAAATGATTTATCAATATAATTTTACATCCTTTAATATTATAAAAACTAACTGTGTAAAATTAAAAAATCTCATATTAAAACAAAATATTAATTATAAAGTCAAAATTTTCTTCAAAATAAATTAAAATATGAAAAAAGAATTAACTAATCTTGAATATATTTGTAGACATCTTATTTTATCTGGAGATTTTTTGAAATTCATTGGGCGTCGATTTTTTACTTTGATTGTGCAATTGGGTTTAATCGAAAAAGTAAATTTTGGACCTAAGATTAAGCCCTAAATTTTATTTATATTTATATTTTTTAGTTTAAATTTTATTTTTTTGTCAAAAGAATCAAAATCAATTGGTAAAAATAAAATAAATTAAAAAAAGTAAAAAATAAATTAAAAAAATGTGGGATTTTGCATGAAAAATCTTGGATTCAATTCAACTCTTGGATAATATCTCAGATTTCAACTTTAATGGTTGAATAATTTTGAAAATACTTGTAACTCAATTTATTGAAAAATGCAATATTGTACAAAAAATAAAATTTGGAG